GTCTGCTAATTACAGAGCTCCATGTGTGTGCGTGAATCTGCAAGTAGTACTTGTACTTCCATTATTTCCATTTTATGCTGAGACGTCACCATATTTCAGAGTGAACCTGGTTTTAATGTGATTAATATGATATAGAAGACACACAAGGAATACTTTTACTTTAGTACTTTGAATACATTTTGCTGATAATACCGTCTGGTAATGGTAGACTAGTACATGCCTGTTTGTTTGTGTTTTGTGGGCCTTTTTTTTCAGCGCGTTCAGGCTCCAACTGCCCCTCAGAAAGAGTCCAACAAAAATAATGTTTCTCAGCTAATGAAAGAGCAGCGTGAGCCCGGGTGAGGAATGAATCTCGTTTCAGTATTTTAAGCCTCTTCTCTCTCCCACGTGTCCCTCACCGTGGCAGAGCAGCAGACCAAGCAGAGCGGCGGTGCATCGATGGAGGTGGGGGGGGGGCGGTTGCTGCTCCAAATGCACGAGGCGGGCGCCTGGAGACAGCAGCTGGCTCTCTGGAAAATAGAAAATCTTTTTTGATTATCGGGGAAGGTTGTAATTCTGAGCTGCTTCTGCCTATTTGAGGTCCGTTAAGTACAGACTGCGTCGGGGCGAACGGCAGACGGATCGGGACGCGTACTTTTGCCGAAATAACCGATGCCCTCGTTCTTAGTCATGCTCACATGATTTACCGCTGTCAAGGAGCTGACATTGTTTGTTTGAATTGATGTGTGCGTGTTCTGTGTAAACTCATGTCATTGCTGATAGCTTGTAGACATTAAGCAAACACAAAATCAGCTTCTTTAGATGCTCTGCCAAGAAAGGAAATGGAATTCTTTTTTTCTCCTTATTCCCTCCTTTTATTTTTGCATCATTGCTCTCAAGAATTACTGAGATTAAATCTACAAACCACCAGCTAGAAAGAGGTCTGCTTTTTTCTTTAACTAAATGTAAGACGAATAAGATTCGGTAGTGTGCCTGTGGTCAGCGCTGATGCTTCTTCTGACATTTTTCTACTTCCCTCCTAACAGTGCTTCTCACGTGATCAAGCACATTCTTTTTGTTTTTTTAAAACCAGATACACAACCAGATACACAGAGAGTGCCGGTGGCTTGGAAACGCTGTAAATTGCGGTGGCCAACGGGCCGAGCTAAGCATCCATGGCCGTGATCCAATTCATAAGAGGTTTACGGCGCAGCTTCGCTTCTGTCTCACCAGTCAGCAACAGTAGCTGGCATGTTGTGGCTGAGGTTTCACCGGGTCGCTGCACTTTCATGGGCTTAGAGGAGATGGAAATGCCCACCATGCATCACTTGCAGAGAATAGTAGAGAATGCTGTTCCCATTTTAAATATGGACTCAATACTTGTTCTGGGTGATTTGGGGACAAATCTCCTCCTCTTCTTTCTTTTTTTTATATCTGCAGCTGAAGTACCTCAGTCTCAGGCTGTCACCGCTTCCCGATGTCACATCAACATACGACATTGTCTCCTCTGCTTAAGAGCCTCAGAGGTTAGAGTCGACAGGGTTTAACAGGCTTGACACTAAACGTGTGCATGTTTTTCAATAGTCCCGTTCGGGGGTCTGGGGGGGGAGAGATGAAAGCCAGAGTAGAGGTTAAAGTGAAGCAGGGTACTGGTCTTGACCTCGTTGTGTATATTTTTGAGGATGTGCACTGGTGAAAGCGGACATCGCACCAGAATGCGAGCCGCCGCCGGCCCCACCACGGCCAAGCTGAGGAGAGGTTTGACACGCCACCTCTCTCATCACTCAGGAATGTTTGAACAGAAACGATTGGTGAATATTTTCCCCCAATTTCCAAATGTTCAAAGTTCAAACCGAGTTTTCAGAGGAGGGGGGGGGGTAAATACCAATAGTGCAACAAGATCCACCATGATGCCTTTGTAAGCAGGAAATATCTGTTAAATTAAAGCTGCGAGCAGCATTGATCGGGCCCTCGCAACTTCACGCACGGCGAGGGTACTGGCAGGTCTCTGGCCATGCATTTCTGTGACCGTCATACACTGCGTGCACGAGTTAAATGGTATTTCCTGGTACTGGCAAGACTCTGGGTGACGCGGCCATGAATTTCTGTGACCATCATACACTGCGTGCACGAGTTAGATGATATTTCCTGCGTCGACAAGCAGCGTCACATAACAGACAGTCAGTTTACTGGGATGGGGTTCAACTCCCTGCAGTGTCCTGCTGATTGTATTTGGACTTACATGAAAGTTAACAAAACAGTAGTGCCATTTGCTTTTACTTGAACACGTTAATTTAACACCGTTTTAATTTTAAGTTCTTCTGCAACTTTAGATTGTAGTGTGAAGCATTCATTATAACGTTTAACCTGATTCTCATGTAGAAGCTCTGGACAGATCATTTATGCTAATGCTCACCGACAGTGGCTTGACAACCACTTTTATCTAATTTCTGCTCTCCAAGCATCTTACTATGCACATATTTAGATCAGAGAGGTCATTCTTTTCTCATGGTGTGCCCACAAACCCTTTCAATAAGGTCAGTGTTTGGGCCGCTGTATTTATAGAATCCTGCTTACGTCCGTGCTTATCAGTAGGTGGCGCTATGACAATGAGTTAATATTGGCATGGAAAAATCCTGAAGCCATGACAGTCAACAATCATGTCAAGTTTGGGACAGTTTTGACAAAGTACAGTCGAGTTACAACAGCTTGATGGATGATGGCGAACCATGTAAAATGGCCATCACACCATATCCACGTCGTTCGATGAAACCTAAAGCTTTTAGTAACTTTTAATCGCTAAGGTCTTTAGATTGTTCTGACCAAATTCTACCATTAATTCCCTAGGAGGAGTTCGTAGTACAGCACCTGGAAATGGAAAAAAAACACGAGAAATTCATACAAAATTCAAAATGGTTGACTTCCGGTTGGGTTTAGAGCATGGTCCCAAGAGACTTTATTTTAAGTCCACATGTGATACATGTGCCTACCAAATTTTGTAAATCTATGTGAAACGTACAGCGAGGGCTGCTTTGTCGAAATATTGTAGGGGGCGCTATTGAGGCGATTTGCCACTCTGAACCAATAAAATCATATTATATAACTACCTTTTGGGCTTTAAATGTGTATGCCAAGTTTGCTTATGTTTCGAGCATTTTTAGCCTCTCAAAATTACCTTCGTTGTTAACAGCGAAGACTGCATCGCCACGGCAACGGCATTCGACGAAACATCAAAAGCTTCATGAACTGGCATTATGAACTTCTTATATTTGTGTGGAACTAATTTGATATTGATTTGATTTACCTACTAAGAGAAACAAGCCAAAGTATAAAGACTTTAACTTCCTGTTACCAGTAGGTGGCGCTATGACTATGATTCAAAATTGGCCTGCAGAGGTCTTCAGGCCTGGAGTCTCATCAAACATGGGAAATCTGGTAAAGATCTGATTATGTGGAGTCGAGTTACATCAGTTTATTCGTTCATGGCGAAGCATCGAAATTCGCCGAACCGCCACGTCGCCGCCCTTCAACAACTTCTTACGATTTTCACAATGAAGCATTATCAAGGTCTTAAGGCTTTTCTGACAACATTTTAGAGGGATTTGATTAATCTGTGAGGAGCAGGATGTCAAAGTACAAAACGTACAACTTCCAGTTGCCACTAGGTGGCGCTATTACTATGATTCGATATTGTCATATAGATGTGTTCCGGGTCAGGATGTTATGACATAGAGATTTGGAGCAGATTAGACAATGTACGGCCGAGTTACAACAACTTCCTGTTTCATGGCGAATGGTGTTTTTTTGACGCTGCGCCACGGACACATAGTTCGATAACTTTTTGATCTTTGAGTAACTTTTCACTGCCAACGTCTCAAGAGCATACTGACCAAATCTGAAATCAATCGGGTTAAATCTCTGGGAGGAGTTCGTTAAAGTATGACGCCTTGAAACGGTCCAAAAACATCATAAAATTCAAAATGGCCGACTTCCTGTTTGGTTTGATGAAAAAACTCCAAGAGGATTTTTTGTGCGTCTCATCACGTTCCACATATCTACCAAATTTCATACAGCTAGGTGAAACACAATGTTGGGGCTACTCAATAGGGGGCGCTATCGAGCCAATATTTCATACTGCAGCTGGACACCCCAATCAGACTGCAATTTTCGCAAATTCTGGCTTGCGTGCCAAATTTCGAAAGTTTTCCAGTATCCCAAGCACCTCCTTTTTGCGACGAAAGACACGCGATAATAATAATAATAATAATAAATCGAAAAACAATAGGTCCTCTGCTCCGACTACGTCGGTGCTCGGGCCCTAATAATAAACAATTGAAAAACAGTAGGTCCTCCGCTCCGACTACGTCGGTGCTCGGGCCCTAATAATAAACAATCGAAAAACAATAGGTCCTCCGCTCCGACTACGTCGGTGCTCGGGCCCTAATAATAAACAATTGAAAAACAATAGGTCCTCCACTCCGACTACATCGGTGCTCGGGCCCTAATAATAATAACAATAAACATTCGAAAAACAATAGGTCCTCCGCTCCGACTACGTCGGTGCTCGGGCCCAAATAAGAAATAATGCATAGTTTAATCTTTAGAAGTTGTATTTCATCACGGTTGCAACAATCTACTTCTTTGAGCAAAGTACACTTCTACCATGAATAGTTCAGGTAAGTATTTTACACTTTTACACGTGACAGTCCAGATCCAACATTTAAAGCAATAGTTCAATATTTTGGCAATATTTCTGCATAATTTGGTGGTCAAAAGTCACTTTGACCTTTCAAAACACATTTATAGCCATAACTCAAGAATCATAATGCTAATTATGACAATTTCACACAAATGTCTAAAAGGATAAAGTTATGAAGTGAATACATTTTGCACAGACATGGTTGTAAACTGCAACATGAGTGGTTGGTGGTGGCATGCAACCTCGAGGCGGTTACTCTTATTGATCCATGAGGGATTTTTATTCGTTAAACAAAATGGCGGTGGTTTGTGTGTGTCTACAGGGCATGGCTTTCTCCCTGGAGGAGCGCCTCCAGCTGGGGATCCACGGCCTGCTGCCTCCCTGCTTCATCAGCCAGGACGTCCAGCTGCAGCGAGTGCTCAAGAACTACGACATGAAGACAGACGACCTGGACAGGTGAGGCTTACACAAACGCAGCGACAGAAACCTCTACTTACTGCCGCGACGTATCTTTTAATCAGAGTTGATTTTCTATGGATTCCCCAGAGGATTCTCCCCGTGCACGCTGGGAGCCCCTACATCTGGAAGCCTTCAAAAACACGAGCAGCAGATTAGCCATCAGCCCTCAGAGGTCTACGCCCATCTCTTAACACCGTATATCTTACTGAACAGATCTCTCTCACCCCCATTCCTCCATCTCCTCCCTGTATTCCTTCACGAGTGTTTTTCTAACCTCCACAGTGACCAAATGAAAACTTCAGCTCAGTTTTGCACGTGTCATTAGATGCTTAGAAGTGCTGCTAGCGTTATGTAATGAATCCGCCTCATGCTAACATTTCAGCCCGGGCTCTTTGATCAACAAGAACGGGCCGGTTTTACTGCTTTGAATCATATGCAGAGTGCTGAATATTAAATGGCCCTCTTATTCCAGTCTGTTCAGCTCGCTCTCAGTCAACTGTTCCATGAGCTGTCGCTCCCAATGTCTGGGACGAGCGAGCTGTGTGCGAGACAGGGCTTTAGGGTCAACAGTAACTACACGTCTTTTTAAAGGCCCCCTTCATTTTCCAACCGTGGCAACATCACAGCATCAACTTCTAGTCGTTATGAGCTTGTCACTGCCGTTCCCATGCCCTATCAATGTCACTGACGATCCGTCTCCAGTGCGTTCCAGCGTCGGGCTTTGGTCCCGCGGCTTAAGGGCTGCTATTTGCCTGCCATTGCTCAAGCCTGCTGTGTTTACTTACAAGCCTGTTCTCCCACGCTGAATCCTTCTTTGGTGCTCACTGCTGGACGCCGGCATTTATTTTCTACCGCCATAACTCTTTCTATTTTAATCAAATATCTTGAATCTTGAATTATTCTGACATGGCAAAGAGAAGAGCGCTGCAAGCACATACGTTTATGATCTGAGATGATGGAGTGACTTAAGTACCTAATGTGACCGTCGTCAACAGAGGAAATGGATAATCGGAGGCTTTGCCAACCGAAACAGTGCAGCATGTACAATGCTGCAGCTGAGGGGAAAGCTCGTATCCAGTGAAGTTGTTAGAAAGCAGGAAGAAGCTTAAAGAAAATGAGCCAGTTGATCACTGGTGCTGAAATAGATTAAGGTAGAGATAGATGATGTCCTGACTGCTTCACTGGGTTGACTTTAAAGGAAACACTGCACTCAGAAAGTCAGCACGGATGCTGCTTTATAAAGCAGTGTGTACTGTAAATATCCCTGTTTCCTAGGTGCGGGCAGTGCTCACGCCTTTTAAGGTTAAGAATGGAGAAAGAAATCTTCCTTACTGATCTGCCAGCATGGTATCAAGCAATACCACACAGCAGTACTATGTTAGGGTTCGATGTGGGGGATTTAATTATAGTTTTGTTTGCTGAGTCATAGCAGCGGATAGCAACTGACTGACTGTGACGGGTGAAGTCATCAAAATGTTGCAGTTCAAGCTAGTTGTGATCACAGTTCAAACTTTTGTCTTTGTGACTTTTCTTTCTTGAAGATACATTGTGTGATATCTGGCTATATGCTCCAAACAAACAGAGTCACCTTTTCACTTCTACTACCGGGTCCATACAGTCTAAATGTACAGTCATCAGTTATTTAACAAAAAAACAGCACACTACTACCTAAAAGCAAGAATACGCTAAATTCAACCAAACTGCTGAAAATCTGAGAGCCGAGGTCACAATATCACTGCTATCTTATAATCTCCTGCCATCCGTGTATATTTGAGTCGCCACAGCCGGCAAGCTAAGGAGCCCCACCCGCTCTCCTTCCGGCTAAGCAGCCCCCCAGGGGCTAGAAGGAGGAAACAAAAAAACTCTGACACCACAGACATAATCCAACAAGTAAACTATCGAAACAAACAGGAACCCTGTACCTTCAATGTGATGGAGAAGCCCTCTGAGCAGCTCAACTTCTCCGTCCTCTCATGTTGGACTGAGGACAAACTGGACGCTGCAGTGACTCACTGTCGGCCTCTACAGGTACTACAAGTGGTATTACAAGACAGAACGGGCCGGGGCTAGCTGGTTAGCATGCTCATTTCAGTAGATATCTCTGCAACACAATACAAAGACGTCTTTGATGTAAAGTCAACACTGTAACCCCTTCACATTCCTGAAGTCCAAGCTGACTTCTTCATACCTCAAAATACTTTAATGTAAGAAAAGGAAAAATAGCAAATTCTTAGATTTGAGAAGCCGTTTGGCATTTTTCTTTCAGCCCAGGAGTTTGACATGACGTTGAAAGTTCAAGTTAATGGACTAAAAAAATTACTTTCATATAAAAAAACAAAAACATTTTCAAACATTTTAGGAACATATACAGTAGAAGCTACTTGATTCCACAAAGAGTAATCACTCTATGGCTGAATTTCTTACAACTCCATACTGCAAGGCATACGGAAACCCTTCATGTGATAAATTGCACATGGCAGAAGCTAATTCAGTTCACCGATATGAAAACAGTGCTCCTCAAGAACAACTGTCACCACCATGTATTGTGCAGCTGCGGCGGCCTAACCTATAGCAGGGAGGGAGCGTGCATGCTTTGTATCCCCTCAACAAGAGGCACCTTGTGCTCTTGGCTTTATGGAAACTTCTCTGATTAGGAGTAGAGCCCTTTCTGGCGTGCTCCGCTTGATTTGGGTTGAATGCAAAACCCTCAGTTCCCAGGCAATCTACACAACAAAGAGCTTGTGTAGGCTATCTGAAGGGCCGATTTCTATTCCGTGTATTTTTCCAATCATTTGGCTTTCTTCTATTTCCTTTTTTCTCGATTTTTCGTAACCTCACTGCTTTTACTTTGGCTGGGTTTTTACAGGGTTGTATCCATCTAATATAGTCTCCGTATAAACATACTCTCATACAGAAAGAATTAACTGTTGCCTCTCTCTTTTCTCTGACGAAGTGTTTCCTTGCAGTTCCAATCCTGCCTGGTACACGTCACACACACAGATATGACCATCTGACTTTAATAAACCCCTCCACAGTTCCAGCAGGTTTGAGTCCTCAAGATGTTAAAGATTAACATGCTATGTTTTCCTCCCTGCTCCTCCCGGTCACTCCCAGATATGTGTTTCTGATGGGGCTCCAGGACCGCAACGAGAAACTGTTCTACCGGGTGCTGTCGTCAGACATCGACAGATTCATGCCCATCATTTACACCCCCATCGTGGGCCTGGCGTGCCAGCAATACGGACTGATATTCAGAAGGCCGAGGTAAGACACACTCACAACACTGACTTATAAAAAGAACATTTTCCAGCTGCAGTGCAAAATACATCCTCTCATTCCCCACTGCTGTGAACAGGCAGAAGGCCAAAAGGAAGCTGGTGATACTCTTTTACCTCTGTGATTTACCAAACCAGTCAATCTTCAACCACTCAGTTATTAAGGTTTAGGATTTGGGTCCGTTTAATTGTTTTTTGTTGTGGCACTTGGTATCAGCCAGCATTGTCATTGTCAGCATATTCTGCTGGCTGTGTGGTTTCAATGTTTCACTGCTTCTGACTTTTGCACCAATCACAGCCCACATATCTAAATATTTGGACATGAAGAAATGAAGAAGTTCTGGACTGTCGTGGCACGGCTAATCTCACGTTCTGCTGCAGCAAGCTGCCGAATATTTTGGGTGTTCCGCTATGACTGCACGCTCGAGGACCTCTCGTGGTTGCGGTGACTCACACTTTCTCTAAACACCTTTTATTGGCTGTTTTATACTGCCGTTGATGGCCTGCCTACTCCTAATTCACCACTCTTAACCGGCCACGGCCGGTATGGGGGTTGGCCATTTCTGGGTTGTATTCATTCAATCGCACAATACAGCAGTGGTAGTTGCAGACACACCTGACGGAGATCTGCAAAAAGTAATGTTAGTTGGGTTTAGTTACTACACAGAACATTAACATCCAGACTGTGGAGGTCGGACTAAAACCGTAATGTTTTTTTCCCCAGAGCTGTCGAAACTGCAAGCCGTGTTTTGAGTCTGAAAAACGTCCACATTTACACGAGCTAAAATCTTTTTGATGGGGCGTGAATCTGAACCAACTCTTTACCCAAACCTTTCACTGTCAAAGACTGTACATGCATTTAGTTTGACTTGTTCACCACAGCCAACCACCTGATAAATAACTGATAAATCAGACGGCAGAGTTGGTTATAAAATTAATTCTATAAACTTTATGGGGCATTATTTTTGCCAGAGTCTCTATCTGATTGGCCAATTAAAAGCTTGTAGGTTTACAAGCATATCTACTAAAGATACAGCAAATTGTCAAATTATTTGATGTATTGCATTGAAACCTGAAGCTCAAGGACTCAAGTACGTTATGTTGGAATTGGTCTATGAATTTGTTGCGTAACCCTCTCAGCTGGAGTTTGGTTAAACAGCTCAACTCTCGGCAAACCGCTGTAAGCTGTAGAAATCAGTTTAGGGTTCACCTTGAATGGATCTGGCTCTGCTCCTAGCAGTTCATTGGTTTATTTTCCACTTCGACTGCAAACATACTTTCACTCTCTGTCTCACACACACCTTCCTGCTAGTATCTGTTTTCCTTCAAATAGGTTCATCAGGTCCAAGTCTCCCACTATCTGGCAGCGACACTTGCTAATCGATCTGTTTAACTTGGCCCTGCCTCCCTGCGTTTAACCTTATATTCAGGTGGTTACAAGTGTTTTTTTGACTCTAATAATACTGATAGGAGAAAGACCACCCTAGTCAACGGTCGGTTAAATGCTCTCACGCTCACTTACTGCTGTTTGCTATTATCCTTGACTCCTTTAACTACCTAAAAGGATACATATAAGCCGACAATCACCACAGCAACCTCCAGTGGTTAGCTATTGTTTGTGGCCAGCAGGCATTTCACTAGAAGCGATGAATATTGTCTGAACATTTAACAAACTAGCTATATTTTGACAATTGGGCATAATTTAGCATTTAGTATTTTCCCCTAGCTTGCATCCACTCTTCAGTAGTTTTTCTAAACACTTTATTCAACAATGGCTTTGTTTACTTTGCTCCACAAATGCTTTTGATAACTGTGAAACCCCAGTAGTCCTCATTTTGTCCAAGCAGTTTTATTACAAATGCCTACCGTGGGTGCATTTCAAATAACCCAATTTCTCCCATGCACATAGCTTTGTTTTCCACCAGCTCCCTGTTTCCCATCCCTGCAGAACTATGTGGAAAATATTCCTAGCATGCTCCCGTCCTCTCACACTGAGCTGACTGGAGGAGTCATTTTATTCACTCCCTCAAAAATCGCAGCACAGCGGGCCACGGCCTGCTGCCAGAGGCCCCGGGGTTGGAAGTTTGGCCTCTAGGAAACGTGCATCAGGGGAGTCACTTAGCAGAATACACCGGGGACACAGCCGACCATGTTTGACAGATGTAGCCTTTTCTCTCTGCTCACCAATGAGAAAAGGGAACAAGCTGAGACCTTGATACGTATAAGTCGGCATTTATTGCATCTGTAATATCTCAACAACTATTTGAAGGATTGCCATAAGATTTACAGATCCAGATCCATGGTCCCCAGAGGATAAAGTTCACCAACTTTGGTGATCCCCTGACTCTTCTTACTGCCACCATGAGGTTGCATAATTGTTTTTTTTTTTATCGAAACGCCCCCATAGCTATTAGATGTATTCCACTGAAATCTTCTACAGATGTCCATGGTGGCCAGAGGATTAGTCCTAACAAATTAAGTGATCCCCTGACTTTTCATCCAGCGCCAGAGGACTGTGGATGAGTGGATCGTCACCCACAGAATCGATCGTCCTTCAATCAGAGGATCGGTGGTTCGATTCCCGGCTCCGCTAGTCGCACGTAATACACAATACTCTTATGCGGAGTATGAATGGGTATGAATGATTAGTTAGAGTCCTGATGGACATGATAGCCCCTGCCATCAATGTATGAATGGGTGGGAATGGGTGAATGATGACATGTAGTGTTAAAGCAGAAACACTTTTCTAGTTGGAAGAAGCGCTATACAAGTACAAGTCCATTTACCACCAGCAAGTCAACATTTGAACCCTGTGAGTCCTGTAAAATATCTCAGCTAAACATTGCATCATTATTACTATATTGAAGGGATTGCCAGTATATCAATGCCCCCCTCAGAATTTATTTTATTAACTTTGGGGATCCCCTAACTTTTGGTCAAGGGCCATCATCAGATCAAAATTTCAATTTGATTAATTCTTGTATAATAAACCAAATGCCTTTTGTTTTTAGTGCTAATTAGCAAATGTTAACATGCTAAACTAAGCTGCCTAATAAAGTGAACATAATACCTGCTAAACATCAGTTTATATGCATCGTCATTGTGAGCATGTTAGCATGCGGACATTTGCATTTATCTAAAGACTGTGTCCAAGTACATCCTCACAGAGCAGCTGGCATGGCTGTAGAGTCTGTTTTGTTTGATATGATCTTGACCATAGACTGTGTGGTTTGTAGAATGCTGTTTTCAGGTCTCAAGTTCAGCGTTTTGGCCTTCGCCGCCTTGGTTTTTGGCTGTCACCATCTTGGTTTTTAGCCGTTGTCATCTTAGCTTTTGGCAACCAGAAGTGACACAAGAGGGTGGAGATACGAACAACCGAAACCTGAATAAGACATTTTCAGGCGATCAAATGTTAACTTTCATGAACTGAAAACACGCTCTGAAAACGCGGACAACTCCCAGACCGGACAACGCCGTAGTAGCGTCCTGTCACCAACTAGGTAGCCTAGCCCTAAAGTATACCCTGCTTTCTGGTCTATTTTAGTCGCAGTGGCACCATAGTTTACTAAATGAACATCATGCTGCACTGAAGACTTGAAACTAGCAATTGACACCATAAACTTGTGTTTAGATGTTAACTGAAGTAATAAATCAAGAGAGAAGTAGAGTCATTTACTCATTGCCTTCTATACAATTAGACTTCTTTTTGCAACCGGACGAGTCACTCCCTTATGGCCATTAGAAAGAATGCGAGGTTAAGGCACTTCCACATTGGCTTCATTCTTCAGACTGGTCTTGACGTAAAATATCTTGTCTCTAATCTCTGCTAGGTGTGACTGAATTCAAAATATTATTCAGTTTCTATCTAAGCCCAATGCATAGGGAATTTTACTTACCAGTATCCTCTAGTAATGACTGTAATGGATTACTGATGCTACTGTGTGTGTGTGTGTGTGTGTGTGTGTGTGTGTGCGTGTCTTCCAGTCAGACCACCATAGCAGCAGATTAGGTCTCTACTTACTGGCTCTCAGGTATAAAGAGTTTCTGTGTGGAAGCAGCAGCGTCTCCTTGTCTTGCCTGACTTTACCGGCTAATCTCCTTCTTGAAGACTAAACACTCCGACACCAGGCTCTGTACCGGAGGCCAAAGGTCATTCCCCATTAAGTGTTAAAACACGGCTCATTCATTGATCTTTCGATGGGGCAGAGGCAGGAAGCGGAGCTGTAAAAAGGAACACATTCACATCATCAGGAGATTAGCGGACATATTGGTTTGTAAACTCATGAGCGGACGCAGTGTTTAGCAGAGAAAGTTGGTCTGTCTTCATCACACAAAGTTTGTTTCTGTTTTTTGCCATAAATGTGAGTTGTACTTTGTTTGACAGCTGAAAGTGTCAGTTGTGATAAATGATAATGTTTTGTAGCGGAAACATTATCCCAAGTATTGCATGAGAGTAGTTGGGTGTACTTCAATCATGTCCAGTGTCCCCGTGCCCTCTGTGGTGCACTGCTACTGAGTGTCTAAATACACTTTTAATAGGCCCTTTTAAAGTAACACTCCGCTTGTTCAAGGAGCTCTCGAGGTAAGTGACACAAATCAATCCATCTTACTGATGGAGATGGATGATCATCAGTAGCCCATTAGTGTAGTCCTGGTTAAGGGTCAAGGGTCAGCCACTCTACTACTACAGCTGCCTGTCAGGAGCTGGAAAATATAATTGATAGTTAGAGATAAAGACTAGATGTACTCTTTATCTTCTGCCACTCTTACTGTATACAAGCCATGGGTATTACTGCTTGTAAAGCTGGAGATAAAATATATACATCTATTTGAAATTAACTGCTAATTTCATTTTGCAAAGGGTCCGTAACTAAAAATATCTGGGATTAGCTAACAATAAATATAAGTATAAGTACAACATAGCCAGCCCTGTCTTTAAACTAGTAATTGTAGGTCTGACATAAAGCACGACGTTGCAACTTCCAGGCC